GCAGGAGGATCCTTGTGAGTTCAAGGGCAGCCTGGTCTGCAAAGTGAGCTCAAGGCCAGCCTGAACTGCATAGCGAGAACCTGTCTCAAGAAGACCAAAAAAAAAAAAAAAAACCTATCCAAAAGGAAATTTAATAATTCGTTTAAAGTAGCATCAAAAATAAAGTAGAATCAAAAAGAATATTTATAGGGGCTGGGGATTTAGCTCAGTGGCACAGCGCTTGCCTGGCAAGTGTCAGGTAGTGAGTTCCGATTCCCGATACTGGGGGGAAAAAAAAAAAAAGAATATTTATGGACTAGGGATGTAGCGCAATGTACATACCCAACATTCTGTGTTCAATGCCCAGCACTACAAAAATATTAAGAATAAGATATTTGCAAATTAATTTAAACAAAGAGGGCCAGGAATCCAATTCAGCAGCACAGCACCTGCTTGGCAAGCGCAAGGTCCTCAGTTCGATTCCCGGTACCAAAAAAAAAGACTCTCCCGTGATTTTCCCCGGACCCCCTCCTTCCAAGGGCTCCGCACAGGCTGTGGCTCAGAGTGGAAGGTGCTGGCTGCGGCCGCGGCCCCACTGTGACCCCAAAGCGCTGCTTCTCCTGAGGCAGGCAGGGCTCGCGCTTCTCCCCGGCTCCACTCCACCTTCAAGAGCCTCGGTTTCAGCGGACTCGCTCTCCAGATCGGTAGAACGATGGTGCTGCAATCATCCAGCACTGAGTCCTTTACTCTGCGCGTTTACAGCTGCAAGGATTCCTTGCGAGAAGACACTCAGAGAGCTGGTCTTGTGATTAGTCACGCAGGTGCGGCAAGCTGTTTAGAGTCTCTGGGAAAAGGCGAGCCACTTGTCATAGTTATAAATAAAAAATTGATGAAGAATCACCAGCTGCAACTGGCAAACCAGCTACACAAACAGGAGCGTCTCTTCTGCACCTGCAGAAATAGATTAGAATTCAACAAGAACTGCTTAACATCACAATAGGACAAAGAAAATTGCAGGTTTGTTTTCTATTAGTTCTTCCTTCTTTTTTTCTTTTTTCTTTTTTGTCTTTTTGAGACAGAGTCTCACTATGCAGTTCAGGCTGGCCTTGAGCTCACTTATGTAGCCTAGGCTGGTCTCGAACTCCCAGCAATCCTCCTGCCTCAGCCTCCCAAGTGCTGGAATTACAGGCATGTGCCAATACACCGGCCTATTAGTTCTTCCGCTAGCACACTTCCTGGGCTGTTACAATCAATGGACCGATCAACACTGAAATGTTATCCTCCAGGCCAGCCAGAAAAATTCTCTGCATTTTTGAGTAAAGTTGTTGGATTACAAAAATAAACATTAAACTCTCAACACTTTAAAAACACCCTCAAGTCCAATCTATGAAATGTGATTAAATCTAGTTAAATACATGACCTATATTTGTAGAATAATATAAATACATTTCCTACATCTATAGAATGTATGGGAAATTTTATAGTGTGAACATTGCATTTAGGTCCAAATCTGAATTGAAATTTAGTAAGCATACTAGATTTCCCTCATCTTCAATATGTAGTGTGAGCCAGGCGTGGTGGTGCACGCCTGTAATCCCAGCACTCAGGAGGCTGAGGCAGGAGGATCGTTGCGAGTTCGAGACCAGCATGGACTACAAAGTGAGCTCAAGGTCAGCCTGAACTGCATAGCGAGACTCTGTTTCAAAAAGACAAAAATATATATATATATATAGGGTGGATTCAAAGATTTTGTCCTAGAATCCAAAATGGATTTGGCATTGTGAAAAAGTGAAATTTAAAAATGTGGACAAGAATCATAAATTCAGGGCTGGGGATTTAGCTCAGCAGCACAGCGCCTATCTGGCAAGTGCGAGGTCGTGAGTTAGATTCCTGGTACCAAAAAAAAAAAAAAAAGCAGTAAATAAAATAATATAAATAAATAAATAAATAAATAAAATAAATTCATAGTTTGATGCTCCTTAGAGTAAAAACAAACCAGAAAAACTTTAATAATGCTTTTGCATGAGAACCAGCATCCTTAGCTTCATAATGAGAGGAACCAGTTTTATTTTTAAGGAAGTACAAATGGTGGGCTGTGCTCTGAAATAAGAAAGGTCAGAAACCGCCTAGAAGTGATGATCCAAGTTAGTTGATCAATTGTACTTGGAGAGACTTTGTATCCTGAGGAGTGGGGTGAGGTGGATATGTTCATGTTTTTCCCCTCTACAATATAAGCTGCAAAAATCCTGCCCAATATCAAAGCTTTAAAAAATTGAGAAGAATAAATAAAAAGGACCTACACCACCACCAACAACAACAAAAGAAATGAAAGGCTTGTACAACAAAAATTACAAAACATCTCTGAAAGGCAGTAAAAACATAAGTAAACAAAAAACAATCCCCTGCCCCTGGATTAGAATATATAACATTAGTGAAACCCTGTCTCAAAAATAAAAAGAAAGAATACATAACATTGTTAAAATGTTATGACTATAAATCAGAATGCATGTGTACACACGGTGTTGTATTGCCTCCCTAGTATAAGAAACTGAAAGAGTAAATAAGATCCAAAAGGTACATAGATATGATGAAAGGGAAAGAAACTGCTCAAAAGGAAAGAACAACTGGGATGGGGGGAAAGAGAAAAAAAGAAAGGGAAAAAAAAGGTATGTTTATACACAAGAGAGCTAAGATAATTGTACTACTAATTTCTATTAGTTCATTGAAAGGAACAGTTAGTGCTTATACTGTCTGATCAATTTTGCATGCCTGTACCCGGTAATCTGAGCAACTACTTTGAAGATAACACTATGCAATATAATAACCATTGTTAATTTCCTATCATTTAAATTCTGCATCATTTTTATTGTAGGGTTTTGTCTTTAAAATAAGAAAAAAAAATGTGCCAGGCACGGTGTAATCCCAGCATACAGGAGGCTGAGGCAGGAGGATCGTTGCGAGTTGGAGACCAGCCTGTGCTACAAAGTGAGCTCAAGGCCAGCCTGAATTGCATAGCGAGACCCTGTCTCAAAAAGACAAAAAATAAACAAATAAAGTGAAGGTGTTATTATTATACTACATTTATACGCAAGTCTGATATCCCCACCAAATATATTTCTCTTAACAAAAAAGCAAAGCTTTCTTCCATCACCCACTTTCCCTGCTAACCACTGTCCCATTGTTTGCTTCTGGCTGATTAAACTCCAACACCTGTGTCTCGTCCGCCTCCTCCCAGTCTTCCTTACACTCCTCCCCATCCAGCCCTCGCCCACCCCAGCCCTTACTCCACCACGGTCAGCAAGCCCAGGCAGCTCAGCCCACGGCCCCTCCTCAGCCTTGAGCGTAAATGACTCAGCAGCAGCTTGTGACATTCGACCACTACTTCCTGGAACTACTTACGCATCTGACCTCTGGGACCCCACAGACTCCTGGGCCTTCTCTATATCTTCCACCCAGCTCTTCTCCCCCACCTCTCAAGAGGGCTCTCCGAGCTCCCTTGTTTTTAATCCCCACTCACTGCTTAGGTGGCTCATGGCTACAGATGCCATCTCTATGCTTCTGAGTCCCAGCTTTGGTCTCCTTTACCCCACACGCAGATGTCCAACTGCCCGGGATGTATAGCAAAAGTTTCAAATCAAGTGTGTCTAAAATTGGACTCCTGGGCCACCATCCCTCATTCTATAGGGTGCACTTCTTTTCCTACTTTTACTTGGCCCGAACTCACTCTGCAGAGCCTGTTTCTTTTCCTACCTTTAATAAAACTTTGCTAAAAAATAAAATAAAATTGAACTCCTGATCTCTCCCCATCTGCCCCACCTCAGTATAAAGCACTCAAGACAAGGCCCAGACCAGCCGAGATCAAGGGTTTGTCAAGTAAACATGCACTGACCACTCTTAGGGCCCAACAGATTACTACTTATGTAAACAGTAAAAGTAAAAGCGCTCAAATCTCCCCCTGGTTCTTGCCCTGCACATCTAAAGGAGGATTCTGCTGGGGGGTGCACACCTGTATTTCCAGCCCTAAGGAGGCTGAGGCAGGAGGACTGCTGTGAGTTTCAGGCCAGCCTGGGCTACATAGTGACTTCCAGGCCTGTACTACATAGTGAGACCCTCTCTCTCAATTAAAAAAAAAAAAAAGATTCTGAAGACGGGTGCTATATCCTAACCCGCAATGTAAGCAGTTTGACTGTTACACAGATTTAATGCAATTCCGATCAAAATTCCAACAGCATAGCTCACAGACTTAGAGAAAACAATCCTAAAATTCATTTGGAACCAGAAGAGACCTAGAATACCAAAGACAGTTCTGATCAACAAAGGCAAGGCAAGGGGCATCACAATCCCTGACTTGAAACTATACTATAAAGCTATCAAGAAATCAACCAATAACAAATGCTGGAGGTGCTGTGAGGGAAAAGGAACCCTTCTCCACTGTTGGTGGGAGTGTAGACTGCTGCAACCACTGTGGAGATTCCTCAAAGAGCGAGGATTGCAGGTCCCATCTGACCCAGCTATTCCCCTTCTGGGTATCTTCCCAGAAGAATTAAAAACATTGTACCAAAGCAATATATATTCACCTGTGTTTATAGCAGCACATTTTGAAATAGCTAGATTTTGGAAGCAACCCAAATGCCCATCAACCAAGGAGCAGATAAAAAAAGATGTGATCTCTTTGTACAATGGAGTACTACTCAGCCATAAAGAAGGATAAACTGGAGACTTTTATAGGTAAATGTCTGAGCTCATCACTTTGTCTTCCTCTCTTGCTCTTCTGCCGGCTCACTCGATTTCTTCAGGCCTGCTGGCCATCACAAGGCCGTCACACTGGCCGCCCCGACATCCGGACGGCTCACTCCCTGGCCTCCTTCAAATCAGCACGTTACATCCTGTCACTCTCATCCTCAGCGTCACAACTCCCCTTTGCCTCCTTTCTCTTCTCCAGTATTTGAGCTCTGCTCTCAAGAGACTGAGGTCTCTGTCTCCCTCATCTTCCACCGCCCCACGTGGTGCCTGGGATTCCGGCTTCGCTCATCCCGACACAGCCTCTCAGGCCTCGCTCTCCAAGTCGCCCCCTCTCCCCTGCAGTGCCTGACCTCCCATTCGCTCGCTCCACCGCACGCAAAGGCACTTGCTGCACAGGTTGCGCTCTCCTGAGAAGGTTCTGGAAGTGAAAGAGCAGGGTACAGCTTCTGCACTCACAGGGAGTTGCCATGGAGACCGGGCTGCCTAGAAAGATTCCACCTCCTCCACCCTCAGTCATCTGGTTCAGCCTGTGTGGTGAGGGGTGAAAGCAGGGGGATCAAGATACTAGCTCCGTAAGAATCAGCGCTTGAGCAAGTTGCCCTCTAGGCCTCCTCATCCTCATCTGGTAAAGGAGTCATAATACCACTAATACCTCAGAGCTAACATCTCAGTGAGAATTAAATGAGATAATGGATGTCCAAGTCCATGTAGTGAAATCGCGGTCCACATTAGGTAGAATTATTCTACCAACTTTCTTCTTCTCCTTCTCCTTTTTGAGACAGGGTCTCACTATGCGGTTCTAAACCCAGATAGACGCCAGGCGTGGTGGAGCGGGCCTATAACCCCAGCACTCGGGAGGCTGAGGCAGGAGGATCGTTGCGAGCTTGAGAACAGCCTGTGTAATAAAGCGAGCTCAAGGCCAGCCTGAACTGCATAGCGAGAACCGGTCTCAAAAAAAAAGACAAAGAAACAAAATAAACACAGGTAGAAACAGGGACGCTGAGGGAGCCAGCCCCTTTCCTTCCCAACATTCGACTATAAACACAGCACCGCCCTAACGATTAACGGTGTTTGAGCTTAGGAAGTCTCGCTGCCTGAGGCAGCAGATCATCAACACCAGCGAGAAGTGCGAAGAGAGGCACCTGCAGTCAGAGGCGTCTGACCCCTGGAACACCGGAAGCCCGGCTTATGTGGCGCTCCTCTTCCTCGTCCTCTTCCTCTTTCCTTTTTCCTTTCTGCCTGTTCCTGCTGCCACCATCCCATGATCTTCCATAAATTTAGCTACCTATACTTACACGTGGCAGTTCTTTCCTTGGCATGCGCAAGAACCTGGACTACTTTTGTTCCATTCAACCTGTGTCCCCAGTTCTGATAGATAAGATAGGAGGGGAAACCCGCAAGGGCCTCTGGGAAAGTGCTGATGGATGGAGAGGCTGGCGCTGCTCCTCCCCGCACTTCCTGCCCAGAAGGTGGAAGCGATGCCAGCGCCGACCAAGTTGTGAAAGAGCAGAGGGGTCAAAAAGGGAATCGAGGCTGTCGGAGAGGATCAGAAAAAGCAGGAGGATCCACACAGCCTCTGAGAGAGAAAGAGGGGTGAAC